ACGGCCCCTTACTATTATACTGTTTTACGACAAATTTTTAATTTTTTTTTTAAACTCACATGTCGTATTTTTCAAGTCATTCTTGGGAGTTCGCAACACTGATCAGTTGTAAACAAGGCCGAGGCGAAATGTTGCGAAAGGAAGCCATTTAAACGCTCATTTCGTTAAAAAGTAATTATTTTACATAAAAATCAAGTTCAAAGTTAAGTTTTCTTTTTTAGAGGATCCTGAAGGGGGGGGGGGGGGGGGGTGTTCCAATCCCATTTTCCACCTGAAATTTTGGCAAAATCCCAGTCCCAGTTGGATTTTTATTAGAAATCCCAGTTCGAGTTATTGAAATCCCAGTCAATAAAAAAATTGGTAGAATTATCGGTAGAATAAACAGTTTTAAGACCTTTTAACCGTGTGTGCGCACCGTGTGGCAGAAGCGGTTAATGCACTGTCTCTTGCCACTGAATTAATAAGGGAGGGTCAACCCAAAACTAAGGCTCACAGAACAAAGGCTGCACATTAGATACTTTACAATAAACCTCTGGGAAACTATATCTCATCAGATAGCTAATGAACTCAAGATTCAAAAAAATATATTTTTGGACACCAAAACTGCGTTGCTATTGGCAACCAGGCAGTTAAAGTGGCAACATGCTGTTTCGCGATAGACTGAGCTTGAGAAAAGATATCTCTGGAATGATTTAACCAATTGACATGAAATTCCCAGGATATATGTATCTTACCATTCTCGTGGGGGTGAACAGAGGAGTTGTAGAAATTTTAAAAATTAAGCAGATAACGAGGTTTTAAATATAGGATACAAATTTGCTTGACATGTATATGCAATAATTCATGTTAGAAAATATATATTAAAAAATCCTCCGTTCATCCCCAAGAAAATGGTAACATACATAAATCCTGAAAATTTCATGTCAATTGGTTAAATTGTTCCAGAGATATCCTTTCTCCAATGGTAAAATGTGCGATTTTGAGAAAACGGCTTTAAAGTTTGGAGATTGTTTTAGTCAGGGAATATTCCTTTAATCTGGGAACTAATTCCTTACCAAAATTTTTCTTTACTAATGTGTTTATAAAGGTGTCTACTAACACATATCAAAAAGTTTAAATTCAATTCCGTTAGGACAACCCGTGACAGCTGCTGAAAGTTGGGGTACCCTGAACCCGATCCGGGGAAAATTGAAAAGTTTTAATTCTGCTTTAAGAATCTTGGGAGAGGTCAAACTGGGTTTTTTTGCTGATTCCGAAAAGATTGCAAGGCTTTATTTGGCAATAAAACCGCTTTTTGACCGGAAAATGGACACGGCCACTTTTTTGCGCCGGTTGCAAATCCTTCTTTCTTTGTGTGAAAACTGAGCGTTTGTTGCACAGCATTATGTGTGTATACAATCGGGGTTTTAATGTACTTTTTTCGAATACTACTGTAGTCCGAAAGCTATACTACATATATCCAATGCCTCAAGTCTGAGTTTTTTTCAGGCTCTACATCATCATGGATGCAATTCTGGCATGTAATGCCTTTACAATTTCCGCATGCTGAGATACACTTGACACCATTCTTTTTGCAACTGCAACGCCGGTTGCTGCAATCTCCATTACAATTACAGCTCGTGAACCGGAGAAGCTCATCTGGGGCCATGGGGTCTAGTGTTGGAACCGGCTCATAACCATGAACACCTAGCGTCCATCCATAGTCACTGGGGTCTAGGGACATGCTCTTCAGCAACATCCAGTCCTGGATTTGGAGATATGCACGAAGAGAATGCTGTGCAGCTGCACCCCTTGTTGGAGGAAGAGCCTCTGGTTTGATCAGCCCAGCCGCCGCCTTCCGCGAGAACATGTCGTATCGAATTGCCCCCAAATTAGTGCATGGCGCGTGGTAGATGTACTGGAAAATTGCAATACCGGCCTCGATCACCGCATCCTTTTTAGCCTGTACGTCAAGAAAGATGTCCATGTGTTCATCAATGTCACCCGCACAGAACATGTGAAATAGAGTCGTTTTCCCGTGGCTCGCGATTGCAGATACCGTATCACAACCAGTAAATGCGTGACAAAAGAGTAGATAGCGTCTCTGTTTTTCAGAGAGAGCTTCTTGGATCTTTTTGACATCGTAAGAGCCGTTCGATGTAGTTAAATAAAGTGGATATTTGGTGCTTGAGCTATGGTGCAACAACATTATCAGCACGTCCGCGTTTTCTGCCCGCACCTGAAATAGAAAAAGAAGATTAAAAGACACAACAGGCGTGTATTGAACTGTGCAGTACTTGAATTTTATAGGATCAACGAGTTCTTTAAATGACATACACGAAACTGTACAAACCTCAACGGAGTCATCTTTAGCAGCAGCCAATGCCCCTCTGACAATGGAAGTGTCCGCATCATTGTTACACTCCCCCACGATGATCTGATGGTTCCGGAATGTTGAAGAGAGTAGATGGATGAGCTTACTCTTGTTATGAAGGTTGTCCATGAATTTTGCCCTCGGTGTCAAATGTATCATATCCGGTCGAATCTGTAGATCACAGCACGAATTCTTGGTGCGTCGGGTGTGGTCGTCACTTTTGGCGAGCTGTTATAGCCATCGAAGATCACAGTGATCTCTGAGAACGACTGCCGAGACACTCAGGCCCGTAGCTGGGGGGGGGGGGCTGGGAGGCAATGTAATGTATAAAAAATTGAGATAAAGGACCTGAAAACCAATTGTAATCATGGGACCAATTCTGTAAATTTTCTGGTAAATTTTGTGATGTTTCGAAAAATTTTGCTAGGTTTCGGAAAAATTTGGTATGTTCGGAAAAAATTGGTCTGTCCGGAAAAAATTTTTGACCCTAAAATGATACACTGACCGAAATTTTTTTGGAGCAAACGTGGTCTGTGAGGTCAACTGGATCAATCAACTCCTTCAGGCTAGTCTTGGAAAAGCCTGCCTTATTCACCTTGTTCATTCTCTGATCTTGGTTGCTGAACAAGGACAAAGGGAAGGGAGTCAGCTCATACTCTGACCTTGTCTCAACTGTCATATCCCGTTGGGCAATAATTATCAGTCGGTTGAACAACTTGTGTGAGTTTAGGTGAATCTTCTTCTCATTTAACTTAGGAAGCTTTCTGAGTGGTGACAAGGCCTGTACCTTGAATTTCAACTCCATGGTCGATGTTACTGACTGTCCGTTCAGCTTTATCTGCATCTCCCTCCCTACTTCAACCGCTCTTTCAGCGTTGACTGCGTCACCTTCTTTGCTTGTAAATCCAGTTGAAAACGACACAAGCAACTTATTGTCCCGATCGTGGTCGAAGGGGTTGTTCTCTTCGAACCATTTGAGAACAAGTCCAATCGCTTCAGCATCCCGCTTCATCCGCGTTTTGGTGAGGTCTTTGTGGAGTGGACCATGTTTCTTGACACTTTCCTCCATGCGCTGGTTCACATCAGAGAAGTGGTTGAGAGTTTGCACCCAGCACTTGTGACCAGAATCACTATTCCTCATTCTCCCTCTGCTCAACCCACCTTCCGACTTTGCCGCCTTCATCAGTTTCTGCTCAATACAGATGTCAGTCCAGGTGCCAGACCGATCATGACAAGAGTACCGGACAACGTGGTTGCCGTAGACAGTGAATCTTTCGAAGATCTCTTTGAATCTTGGCGTAGTTTGGAGTTGTTTCATCGGCTGACAATACAGTCGTGCGCCCTTATTGATGATGCCCGGCAGCGGCAAAGATGTCCAGCATCCTGGTTACAATGCAGCACAGGTGCCCGTCGATGTCTGCAAGCCGTTCAGTTCTGATGAAGATCTTGAGGACATCGACCATGTAGTGGTACTGCACCCAGAAAGCAGGTGTTCTTCCTCCATCGGCGAGTTTTTTGAAAGTTTCTTGAAACCTCTGCTCAAACGCTGCAACTATTGGCGCTGTGTGACAGGCTCCCATCTTCCCATCAGCTACCTCTTCCATAAAGGTCCTCATTTTATCAAGCTCTTCATCAGTGAAGGCGTTTTTCATGACGTGCTGACAGAGGGCTGCATCTATCAGGAGGTGAGCACGGATCGCCTTGTCAAAACACCCTCCCGACAGGATGTGATCGGCCGTCGTACTTCCCGGATAAATCAGCTGAATCAACTCTAGAAGTCCAGAATCCTCCACGATCTTACCTAAAGATCCGAGGTAGGACTTTAGCAGGTGAAATCCACCCAACCTGATGGACAAGAATAGAAAAATCATATAAATAGTTATAATTACATAATTCAATCGATACTTAGACTTGGAAAAAAACTATATGATAGCCGATTCTCAGTTTTTTAATGCTCGATTTCGTGCCTGTAGGATACTGGGTGTTGACACTTAAAATTTGTACACCAAAAATTATTAAATTAGTACAATGCATAAAAAACTTTTACACCTACAGTTGATAATACCAAAATTGATTAACATTTATGTAACATATCTTAATCTAACATTTGCCTAACTTAACGATGAATTCCCTCCCTCTCGCACACTCAGTGCCATCACCTTGGAATGATTGGAAGATTTGCCTGCTTAATGATATCCACAGCCTTGAGCCAGATGGGGAGATTGAAGGTCACTATGGCAACTTCGTCTCCGGAAAGCCTCATGCACTCTTTGAGAGTGGTGAAGATGGTCCTGTGGTCATTAGGGTCACCTTCGATGACCGGGAGCAAGTCTACATGTGTGCTCTCCTTGGCATCATCTGCATGGATTCTCCTCATCCAGCCATTCCAGTTGGAGTGCTGGAATTCGGGATCTTTACCTTTGATTGCCCACCCTGCTGTCCAGAGTGTATCTCCTGGAGAGAGGAGTGACTGCTCTTGTGCCACGGAGGAGGCGAGGTCAGCAATAGAAAGAAACGTGATGGCGTCTATCCCTGTCTGTTTCCTGATCGTAAATGGAAGAATCTTAACTTCAGCAGCCTTGAGGATCTTAGCCTTGTCGAGTGTCTTCAACTTCACCCTATTGATAGCTGTTTTCGTCCGATCATCTCCCGAATGTGGCGCTGGAGAGGTGACTTTTATTAAACTCATTGAATGAAAAGGAGTGTTCCCGTAAATAGAAACAATGTTCAAATCTACATTGTCTCCAACAAACTGAGTGACTGCACCAACTGAGCTTGTTTCCTCAGCCTCCATAGAGACCCCCAGATCGTCACTTTGTATTCCACATTCATCAGCTGTCACAGCAACTGAGAGATCTTCAAGTTCGACGTCAACCTGTACCTCATCATCTATTTGATTATCAGTTTCTTCAGTGATGGTACCAAGAGCACCAGAAGCACCAGAGATGCCTACTCCATTCTTCTCATTGAGGTAGCAATATTTGTAACTCTGTGTCTCTGCATAAGACTCAGTACACCCCAACCGGTGGAACTTATTGAGCATCCACTTTGATCCAAATCTGTGATCGAGTTGTATGGCAAGACCCATCTGGTATGGCAATACCCCTGACCTAGGCCGATAAGCCTTTACGAAGTTTTGTCCCCAAACCGCTACTCTTTCGTCTGTCTTCACTATCGGTCGTAGGAACATCTGAAGGCTCTCAGGAACAAGTGCCAGCTGACTAGAAATATCAGTCATAGTGTGTACAGTGGGGTAAAACTTTGGATCTAGATCCATAGTAGCGATGTCGTTGCAAAGGAACTTTAGGGCTGTCTTAATGATCTGAGTCTTCTCATCTCCAAACTGGATATTAGCATGATGCTCTCGCAGAATGTTGCTGGTCCTGTCTCTGAAACACAGCACATCTGCCCTCCTCTCCTGTGACGTGAAATACAGTGTGTCATGGTATTTTCCTTGGAGCTTCTTCTTCAGCCACTTCATCGAGTATGCGAGGCTCTGATCTGCTGATTGATCAAACTCCAGCAGTTTCTCGTGGACTTGGTTAAGTGTCATTACCCCGTGCTCGAGTTCCAGGTCTAACCATTCACAGAGCTCATAGAATACAGCAGTTCGTTCTTCATCGACTTTCCTTCCCACTTGAAGATAAAAGGTTGTTGTAATTATAAACGTTTAAGTAGCATGGTTTGATAATATGCCTCATCTTCGAATGACTGAATTTGGATTCACTTCACTGAAACAGAATCATACTTTTAGATTACTTACATCTTTAGTCTTGGAGTAGTGACGACTCGTCTCGAAAAGAACTTTGCAGCGCAA